GTAAATACAACGAATATAAAAATAAATATTAACAATGTAAATGCAAAATTAAACAAAAAATAATAATATTTAAAATTAATTTATTCCTAATATTTAATTACAGTATAAAAATACAAAAAAAATATTATTAAAGTAATAAATACTCGCTTAATAATTGATTTATTTGTTTAAATTCTTTAAATAAATAATAATAATTCAAAACCAAACTCCCATCTAAGTTATAAAAATTAATTATTTAAATTTATTACCATTAGTCCCACTGTACCATGGCGCTTCCTTCCAATTTTCAGCTGTCATCGGACACAGAATAACAAAAACAACTGCAATCATAACAACACTAAAGAGGCAGAAGACAAACAAAAGCAACAATAAAAAAAAAAAAAAAGAAAAAGAAAATATATAGTGGGTAGAGGAGGAAGAATGGGAAGATGAAAATTCAAAGTCAAAAGTGCGGCAATTAGAGCAATTTCCCTCTCTCTCTCTTTCTCTATCTCTGCAACCTTTACTCCGCGGCGATCATTTCTCCAACGTCTTCTCTTTCTTCCCCAGCTTTTCCATCTCTTTCAGAAATGTTCGCCTTCTTTTTTTTTTATAGACAAGAATTCATTGGGCTCTTCCGCTTTTCCGCTCTCGATTATCCGCCGAAAGTCAGAGGCTTAACTAAGTAAAAACATAATAAAAGTTTTATTTTTTTGTATTTAATTCTAAAAAAAATAGTTTCTTTAAATGGAATATTATATGTCTATAATACAAAAAATAAAATATATATATTATAATATTGCAACCTTTATTTGTTATACAAGCTCTATTGTTATTTTTGAATGCCCTTAAAATTCCCAAGTTGGAATTCAGATATTTTCTAAACTTGACTTATAAGCTAAAATTAGTTTTGTTTTGTAATTTTTAAAGTGAATTTTTAAATTGCTTTAAGCTCAGCCTCGCAACCTCAAAATTCTGGCTTCCACTTTAAAATTTTTCTGTAAAGTATTCTTAATTTTAAGATTTAATTTTGCATATATTTTTTTAGAAAGTCGCTCTTTATTCCCTATTTACTGTATTGGTCCGCATTTTATTCATCTGGCTCATTGACATTTGAAGCGTCTCGTGTTTCCGCCTGCCGCGGCTTTCCTTTCCCATTCTCTCGTGCTCCTCCCGCTCCTCCCGCTTCACCGTTTGTCGTTTCCACTAAGTAAGTAATCCCGATAAACAAGAGGAAGAGGAACAGCATCCAAAATCCCAGGAAATATGCACAAAAATGTACATAAATTCGTTTGCCAGGCGAAGCAAACTGATCCACACGTGTGTCCCTGTGTCTCTTTCTTTAGACCCTCCCCCCTCTCCCCCTTTTCCTTTTCTCCCCCTCTTTCTCCGTGTCTCTTTACCCCATCCCTTTTGCTCATCTGCCGTTCTTGGTCATTCATTCCCATTCATTCAACGCTTCATTGCTGCGGTAATTGCTTCCAAATGCTTAAACGCTTGCATTGTAGCTGTTCAAAGACACTGCGAGAAATTTTAGGCAAGTTTATGATATATTATAAAAAAATATTAGGTGCTTAGATTAAAAAAAAAAAAGAAGAAAACAAGGCGTACATTTCATGAGAAATTAGTTTAAAATCTTATCAAAATTAGGGTTAGTGAAAGAAGTTATAAAAAGGACTCTTAAAATTCCCAAGTACCTTTTTGTCAAGCTGTTGCTGTTCAAAAAAATGCAGAAAAGTTAGCTATCTATAAAAATATATATATATATTTAATGCAGAGATTTTATTGTTGTTTATTATAATAAAAAAAGAATGAAAGATTTCCTGTTTAATATTATAAATCCCCCACATTTAGCTTAGTGAAAGAAGCTCCAAGTTGTTCCCCTTAAAATTCCCAAGCACAAATTCTGTGACATTCTTATGCATATTAATATATAAACATATATTCCATAAAACTAAAAAAACTTTCAATAATTACTGCCTGATTTAATTATATTTAATTTCCTATTCCAAAGCTTGAGTTGCCTTTTGTAATAAATATAAATTATTATAGATTGCATTTCATTTATTGTTTTTCTTTTCAGTGCACCATGATTCCTTGGTGTTCTCTGTGCCGCTGCAGCCCTCCTTCCTCTCCGGCAGACAGTCTTCCTCCTCGGTTTCAAGTTGGGATGTCCAACATGTGTCGTCGTCATTGATTTGTTGTTGATGGGCATGCGACGGCTGCTCTAGAGGAGGAGGAGGAGGAGGAGGAGAGGCTGCATGAGACGAGGCGCGCCCAGCAGCTCTGTCTGTCTCGCTCTATTGACATTCATCTGTCACAACCCAAAATTCAACTCAAAAATCCGGAAAGAAAAAAACAAAACAAAAAAAGAGATTCCAGAACGAACGAGATTTTTGTTGGTTTCACGTTATCTATCGTTATTAATTTTTTAGGAGGCGTATTAGAGCGTATTATCTATCGCAACTATTTGGGCTTGGAAATAGCTCTTAAAATGCAAAACTAATTCCAATATTTTATTAATTCATTTTAAAAGGTTCATAACTAATATTTAGAAATATAAATGCAATGATTGTTAATTTTAAATAAATTTTGTTGTAGAAATACATAATTTTAGGACCAAATACAAAGATCAATAGTATAACCAAAGACATTAGAATTATTAAGATGCGTAACGTAAGGAAGATTTAGGGTTGCCAAGGAAGCAGAGTTGCATTTTCTTAGGGCTGACAAAAGGTCAATGTTACCACTTTAATATGATTTATATTTCTGTTCTAAATGAGTTTTATATTTATATTTTTAATAATTTTGTATCTAAATGATATATTTCCAATTATGAGGTCAACAACTACGCTTTCAGTACAAATATTCCAAACTGAATATCTCTCTAGTGAGCTGCGCGGTTCTAATTTCCAAGAGCAGAACGGTATAAAGGGTATTATCTTTTATTTAAATGTGGAATACGAAAGGTTTCTGGGTGGCAGCCAGTATGGAAAGTTCTCAGTTTTCTCAGCATTCTGTGCCAGTCGAACGCTCGCTTTTAATTATGAGCCTGGTCTTTGTTGTAGACTTCTCTTTACAGTTGCTGCTGCTGCTGCTGTCTTCTGGAACTCTTTCTGCCTTTTGCCTTTTGCATGTGCATTTTATTTAAATTTTTAACCCCATTCCCAATCGCATGCAACAATAAAAGAGAGTGCGCGTGTTGCCAGCCAGCGGCGTGAATTGTCAATAGTTCTTCGAACTGTTGCAAGAAAGAAGGGGGGCGTTGGGATATGGAAAGGCGTTCTTAAAGTGCTTTGTCCCCGAAGATCGTTGGAGAAGAGAGAGAGAGAGAGAGAGAGGAGTGACTCAGGAGGTCACAGTGACTCGAACTGGGATGCTGTAAAGGCACACTTAAATGTTAAAATAAAAAATAATTAAATTTAGAATATTTTTTATATTTTTCATCAGGGTTTTAAAAATGAAATCTGCAAATATTTTAGCAATAGAATTAAAAAAAAAAAACAATTATTATAAAATTAAAATTAACAATATATATATTAAAGATTCTTCATTATGGTTTTAACAATGAAATCTGCAAATATTTTAGCAAAATAGGTCTAAAAAATATTTATTATAAAATTAAAATAAAATATATATGTATGTATATATTAAATATTTTTCATCAGGGTTTTAACAATAAAATGTGGTTTGCAAATAATTTAGCAAAATTAGTCTAAAAAAATTCATTAAAATAATTAATTATTAAGAAAAAATATTTTTAAGGAATTAATAGAGTAAATTTTCTTATCCTTTATTCATAAACATTTTAAAATAAATATCTTGTTTTGATATACAAATTTGTATAATTTATGTGACAATAGTTCATTTTTTAATAATTTTTTATAATTTTTATAATAATAGTTAATTATTATATATAAATCTTATAATATTTAATAATTATACAAAGGTTAAAGATTGAATCCTGAAAGGTTATAAGATTTTTAGACCAAGACCAAGGTTTAAAATTGTCTAGAAAATCTCTCGATAACCCCTGTTGGAGTCCTTGGTCTTCCTGAAATTTCCCTGATATATGTCACACATACTTACATATATACAAACGTATATGTACATAAGCACTATATATGCATGTTCAATCAGATGTGGGGCATGCCCGCTGTCGCTGTCACCTTTGTGTGGCACTTCCGGATCTTCATTTTTTTTTTTTGGTGGGGGGGGTGGTAACGGGAATGGGAACAGTGACTGTTGCATCTGCCGGCCACCAATCAAGATTTTAATGCGTCGGGGACCCGATGGCTAATTTATGCCGGGCTATAATATCACTTAAGCCGCCCCCCGACTGCTGCTCCCACTACCACTACCACTACCACTCCTACTCCTACTTCTCTTTCTTCCCCTCTCCCTCCCCCCAAGATGCACTGTTAGCGGGTGCCTCTGCTGCTGTTAATATCCTTAACAGTTTGAACGAAGCGACCTGGTTTCGCCTGGCCCTCCGCCGAGGTTGCCTTTGTTCGTTTGACTTCGTTTAAATTTAGTACAAACACACAGAGTCGTCGTCCCCCCTCAAGTGTGGTGGTGGTGGGGGGGGGGGGGGATGTGGCTTCGTTGGGGCCTCGGCTGGGTTCGGTTTTTGATGTTCGGCTTCTTTTATTTTTAGCAGAGGCACGCGAACGCAGTTTCGGGAACAGTTTTTCCGCCTTGGCTTTTTTGCATGCGCGTGCCTCTGTTAACAGCGACCGAGACGCCGACGCAGACGGCGACGCTGGCAGAACTGCAGAGGCGAACGAAGAACGAGCGACGACGAATTCCCAGCGATTTTCCTATAACAAGTTTTTAGTACGTGTTCCGCCGTGTCAGCAGACAGTCGTGTGATTCGGTTGCATGTTGCTCCCCACCGCAACAGCCCGCAAGAACAACAACAACAATAACAATAACTACCAATAAAATCACAACAAAAATAAAAACGCAACCCAAAAAAAATTTAAAATAATAATTAATAATAATAAAAAAACACATAAGCAAGTAAAAATCGCAGAAACAAAAATAAGGAGCAGGAATACTAAAAAGGCTTAAAGGCAACCATTATTTTTTTAAGTGATAACCGAAAATGCAAAACAAAGCAGGCTGCATGAAAGCCGCACAACAACAGCAACAGCAAAATATCCCCGCTAAAAAAAGGAAAAGCCCAATTAAAATAAATTAAATCTTTTTTTTTTAGTTCATTTGTGTCTCTGTGTGTGTGTGTCAGTGTATGTGTGTGTGTGTGTGTGTGTGCATTTGTGTTGGCCAACTTCCTGTGCAACCGGTCTGCGAAAATAAAAGAAGAAGGCGACTAAGCATCCCATTCATCCAGCATCCGACACAAGTTGCACCTGCAGCAACAACAAAATATAAAAAATAACCAACTACAACAACAACAACAACAAGAAGAAGAACAAAATTCTAGAAGTAGGACCCCAGCCAGTAAACCCGTTTTCTTTTTTCGAGGGGCGGCAAAGAGCGCCTAGTCGTTGTCGTTTGTTGCCTCCAAGGCCAAACACAAAATCCACTTGGCCATAACAACAAAACACAACATCAGGTCCAGGACAGACCCACAAAAGTCGACAGCAACAACAACAACAACAACAACACATTAAGAAAGCATAAAAAAAATTACAACAAAAATAATACCAGCAAAGAGAAGAAGGCGAGGAGAAAATTCGGCGACATTTATACTTGGACATTTCCCTCTTATGGTAAGTTGTGTCTGGATTTACCAAGTGAAAAATTATCAAAAGAGTCAAGGCAAATATAAGAGTAAATATTATTTTTAATAGGTGTTGAGATTTGGGTAAATAAATATGAAATTTTGTGACATTTTCCTGTGGTAAAAAGAGACTAGGAGTTACCGGGCCAAACTTTAATTTACTTAACTTTTATTCACCTAATTTCTATACTTTTTTCACTGAACTAACAATTAATGGAATTCCTTTTTTTTTGACAAGCCTTTGACTTGAAGGCAGAGTTGCATTTTATGCAAAGAAAAATGCAGAGTTGCATTTTCTAAGGGTTTTTTTAGGGTTTCCAGAAGGTCAATGCTGTCACTTTAATATTGTTTATATTTCGTTACTTTTTTTTATATTTAATTATATATAAATTAATAATATTTATACTTAAAGTTTTTCATAAATATTAATCCAATTATATAAGCTTAACTATTATTATTAACCATTTTTTTTTTTAACCCAATTTCACCTTAATATTCCAAGCAATTCCATCAACTTTTCATTAGAAATTTGAAGTATATATTCAACTTTAAAAACCAACCAAGGCTCACAAGTAGCAAAGAAGGCTTAAAGAGGTTTTACAAAAAAAAAACAAATCAAAACATGTAGAACTTAGCTGCAGGACCTTTTTCCCCAAGACCAAGCAAGTTTTCGCTTTCATATTTCATGCATGCAGCTAAGTATGCTACGTTTTTTTTTGTTCTGCCCCAGGCACCCTGACTTCCATGTTTGTCTTGCATTTAGCGGCTGTTGCTTGAGTGCAAGTGAAATCCTAGCCAAGCCAATCAGTCCGTCCATCCAACCATCCATCCATCAATCAATCAATCAATCAATGCAAAATGACTTGTTCCTTTTGTTCCTTCTGTCCTGGAGAAACATGGAAAAAATGTTTCAAGTCAATTAGCAGAGGCGTCCACGTCATAAATATGGTAAAGAAGAGTGCGGGAGTGGGGGTGGGTGTGTGTAGCTACTGTTGGTGGTGTGAAGTGGGGTCAGAGGTGGTCGTATTCCGCTTCCGGTCTTTGTTAATGGAATGATGGCCAAAAAACGACGCCCTTAACCTGCAGAACTACGCAAAGTTCACGCTTATTGGGCACGTTTTTTTTCCTAATATTTATTTTTAATTAATAGAAAACTTAATTAAAAATATATACAAATAAAAATATCTAATTTGAGTATATATATTAGTTTTTATTTATTAAAGTAAATTTATAAAGGTGTCATTTTTTTACAAAAGAACAAACGTTGATAATTCTTGCTGATAAAAAGTTGTAATTAATTGTTTCACATACAAAAAATGCTTTAAATATTTAATAATATTTATTGATTATTATTTTTATTTAATTCATAAAACTATTATATTCAAAAATATTCAAAGGATTTCTTTAAGCCGCAAATAATAATTTTTTATATCATTTTTTAATTACATATAAATATTTTTGAGCTCTAAATAATTCCCAAACTTTAATTTTTAACCTAATAATTTCCTTAAAATAGTTCTTAATTTAAAAATAAAATTACTACCATCAATTTGAAAAGTGTTCTTAAAAAATTTCAAAGACAAACTAAATTATTTTGCCTTACCTTGGACAGATTTGAATTTGTTTTGTCTCCGATTCTCTCACAATTTAGTTGTAGTTTCGAAGCGATTCACTTGAGAACTCTGTTAGTACCCCCCCTCCCCTCCCTCCCCTCTATTCTCTACTCCATTAACTTTTAGCCAATTGCCGAAAATGACAAAAACCAACAGGAAAACCAAAAGCAAAAGCAAAAAAAAAAAGCTGCAGCAAAAATCTTGTTTGCCAATCAAATTTTTCAAGTGGAGACCACAACAAAGCAACAAAGCAACTGAAAAGGAAGGGAGTAATAGCGAAAACAACAAGTGCGAGAAGAGGAGAAAAAGTGCGGAAAAAATGGTTGGAAAATTCGGAACAATATTTCTCCATCCATACAATTTTCCATCTCTCTCTCTCGCTTCTCTCTTTGGCCTTTTGTCAGTGGATTCTTAAATTTTTGGCTCTTGAAGTCATAAAATTTCAGATTTTTCTCGTTTATATATATATCTATGGATACTTTTTTTTTTAAGTCGAAACTTTTCTAATCAAATTAAGAGGGAGGCAGGCGGAAAGCCTGGCAGTGCGTTGCTGTGAAAGTGAAAATTATCTAAGTCAATTTAGAGACGGCTGTAATATAGAGTTTACAGTGCGGTTCATGATGAAAATATTGTTTAAATCTTGAAGGAAATAAGTCTAAAATTATGTCTAGATCTTTATATATGAGTTGTATATTTTATTATTATTAAATAAAATAATATAATTACCGAAAATTAAATAAATAAATAGAAAACCTAAAGCTAAAGTTAGATTTTTATAAAATATATACTTCTTTATACTATTTATATATATATTGAAAATTATATTTATATTTAAAATATTTATATTTTCTATTTAAAATATTTATATTTTATATTTAAAATTATTCTACAATAAACCAGCAGAAAAAACATAATTTTAATAGGTAATAAACTTCATAGTTAGTAAAAACTTGTATTTTAAATGAAAGTTTACATAGAAATAATATATACAAATTTCAAACAAGTCTTGAATTATTTAATAATTAATAAAATATACATTTCCCCTACAATGAAAAACCATAACACTTGGATCGATAATAAAATTGCTGAAATAAAATGCTGAAAAGTGAAATAATAAATCCACAGCCAAAGGATATCCATATCCGAATGGAATCCATGAAATTCGCACAACTTCACAGACTACTCAAACTCTGATCCCTTGCCAGTGATTTAACGATGTGAAACGCACTGTGCTGCTCCATAAAAATGTTCATCATCATTTGTTGCTTCGCCCAACTGCAAATGGGCAAAAGTTTACACATCTCAATGACCTTGGGTACTACTGAAACCTCGCAAACTCCCACAAACACCAGCAAAAGCCACGCAGAAAAAAAAAAGAAAAAATAAAGAACGAGAGAAAAACGAAAAAGATATTTATTTATAAATGTGATGCGAAAATGGCGAGAGGTGGGAAATGGGGGGGGAGGAAAAAAATAGAAAAGTTTGCTGCATAAAACTGAATTACCGGAAATTGGCCAACAAAATAAAAGGGAAATAAACGGCAATGCGAAAAAATGCTCTAGCTCTAGCTCTAGGTTCTGCTTTTGGCCAACTCTCTCAAGCTTTTCGGCCAAAAGTAGGTGGCCAAAATGGCGAAGAGGAAACGAAAAAGTTTTTACCTACTTTACAAAAAGCGAGAAGAGGCGAAGAAGCTTCGAAAAATGAGAGGAAAAAATGTATATATATACACATAGTACTTATACTTTTTTTATAAACAAGAAACTAGTGCAAAAACTTGGCTCAAAGGCATTGCCAGAAAATGTCAAATAAACCTTTAAAAGTTCCATTTTTGTAAAATATACATAATGTTACTTAAGGCAGGGACTGGCAAAGAGGTGTGAATATATTTATTAAAATATTTTAGGGATTTATTAAGGGGTAAATTGCTAAATATTCTAATGAAAATTAAGAAATACATATTAAACTTGATAATATTTAAAGAAATATACAAAATATGGGTAACAACTTTAAATTTAAGGCTGAAAAATGTTACCCCTTCCGGCTTTAACTTTACTCCCTTTTGGTCGCCAAAAAGTATGTCATAATTTTTGCATATGCTTCGGTTTTCATTTAAATATTTGCCTGACTTTTCTCTTTCCCTTTGCCCTTTGTTGTTGTAATTGCAAGTGCGCCACTTGCTTTTGACACCTGCTTTTAACCAGGGGCGGAGTTTCTTTTTTTTTTTTGGAGGGGTCATTTATTATGGCCAGCTTCTTGGCTTTTACCGAACTCTCACTCCACTCTTGTGTTTTTGCTGTCGCCGTTTGTAATTGACATGAAAATTTAATGCCATAATTTTATTTTGCACTTGGCCTACCACTCCTCAACCCCCCTTTTGCAAGAAAAACTTTACTTTTCACCCCCTTTTTGCCATAGCTTAGTGTGTTGTTTGCCTTTGTGCTTTTTTAGATTAGAAAAGTTTTGTCCTTGTTTGCAATTTTTATTTGTTGTTATTTTTTTATTGTATTTCCTGTATACATACTTCGTTTAAACATATATATGACCTACGCCTATGCCTTTTACACTTTTATGTATTTTCTTTATATTTTTCTTCAAGTGGAAAGTGTTTTGAGTGTAGCAAAAGGGCAGTTTTACGTTTATTATTCAAGCTTCTTACTTGATTTATAATAAATTCAATTTCATTTAATTTTTGTAAGGTTTAATTTAAGTAAAATATTTTTTTTACAATTTTTTTGATGAGTACATTTTGCTTTATTTAAAAACTTTGTTTTAAAAGGTTTAAAATTAATATTTAAAATTCTTTTACAAATTGTAAATATTCTATTTCAGGCTTAAAATACATATTTCATGAATTTAAATATATTTTTATAAAGATTTTGTGTTGAATATATGATGAAATGTTTTTAATAATTTAAAGAAAATATATTTTAGTCCCCAAAACACATTCTAAAGAGCGCACCTACAATTCTTTAGAAAAACCCCCTGAAAAAGATAAACCTATATTTACTTTATTTAGTTATTCTTTAAGGAAAAAACATGGCACTTTAGTTGAGCTGCAATTGAGTTGAGTTCTCCCCGCCCCCACTTTAGTTAATTTTCATTTATTTGCCGTCGAACATTTTCATTTCGTTTGGCCGCCGTGAAAATGTTTCGTTGAAAAACGCCGCCTCTATACGTTTTTCTTCTTATTTATATACCTTTTTATACATATATATATATTTTTTTTCCTGAAGTTTGTGCGCTTCCATTTGAGCAGAAAATCGCGACGCTCTTTTTGCATTTGAATGACCTGCCACGCCCACCAAAAAAAAGAAAACCCAACCAAACGCCCCTTTTTGGCAGCGAGAGAGCATGCTTAATAATTCAATTCATAGGC